AACATCCTCACTGTAGGTTCTAAATATGCAAACATTCTTTTAAAGTCAGCAATAATGTCCTAACTAACAAATCCAAAAAATACCCTTTCTTGATTGTTATTCTCACTGGTCTCTACCAAAAATGATATATTGGTGGGCATATGGAAATGTTGCTCCAAGAAGTGATCATAAGATTACCTTCAAATAATCAGACTACAAATTATAAACTCAAAAAAGAGATAGGCAATGTCACTTAAAGAAGTGGAACTCTTAATCCAGCAAGACTAGATTACAACCCAAGGCAAGATATTAAGTAACACATTTAAAGAAAGAACACTTTCAGAAGATAGAGGGGGTCGATCCAAAATGGAAGCACAGAGGCAAACAATAGTGATTCCTAACTTAGCAATAATTAGTAAACTGACTTTAAAAACAACCGTTCCTCTGACAATTATCCTATCTCAAGTTACACTGAGTAAGAAATGATGCTTGAAAATTATCCAAATCCCTTACTTCTGATTTTTTGCTCTTTTGCAATAAGGTGTGTCATGAAGTGCTCTACCTAAATAGAGAGGACATGCTAGTTGAGCTGACATTAACATTCTAGATTATATTAGTGTTATTGCTGTTGTAAAGTAAAAAAATTCACACTCCTTGAGCTTTTTTAACTTAAGACCACTGTCAGAGAAATAGATTTATACTACAAATCAGGAAACAGAAGCTCAAAGAGATTCAGTAACTTGCCCAGGGGGATTCCTCTAAGAAAATAATAGAGCTAGACTGTGAACCCAGATTAGTTTGACTCCAAAGCATGTACTCTTCTAACCTTTACACCAAGGATATAAGGAGTCTGTCAGTACCTGAAACAATTCCTAAAGATTCTTACTGACCAAAAAAAAAAAAAAAAATGATTATTTTTTGGGAAGAAGGAAGATAATTCTTGCTAAAGCTATCGATAAAAACAATTCTTAATTCCTCTAATTCAGATAAAAATTTGATTTAATAAATGAATACACACACAAAAAACATAACCAAGCCTAATATACTGAACGCCCTCTGCCACTCTCTTCTAGGAGTTTACCAGGTCACAAAAAGAATGTGGATTAAAATCTGTAAAAACATCAAATGAAGATATTATCAATCCATTCTCCACTGTGCTGAAAGAAACACCAACCTTATTAATGGCACATGCCGTCTTCTCCCGGCTAGCGCCACTACTTGTTCTAATGATCTTGGATAGATCTTCACGAGCAGCAAGCAGATGTGCCATTGTAATTGTTGTCTTGGGTGACAAAGCGTAACGCTTAGGCTGATAAATCCTTGCTATGTCATCTGTTTTTACCTAAATGACAAAAGTTAGGTAAAAAAGGAACAAAGGTAAATTTTAATGAAAGAACAATAGAAATCATAATCTTCAGAAAGAAAAAAACAAGATAATCAACAAGCAAGAAATAGGAAAGAGCAAAAACATCTAAATATCTGATAATAATTTATATGTAGAATGACAAAATAA